ACTGACTTCACACTTTTTCTTTTCTTTTTTTGGGACAGAGAGCAGGGTAGGGAGGGGCAGAGGGAGACAGAGAGAATCTTAAGCAGGCTCCATGTCCAGCGTGGACCCTGACGTGGGGCTCGATCTCACAACCCTGAGATCATGACCTGAGCTGAAATCAAGAGCCGGATGCTTAACCGACTGAGCCTCCCAGGCGCCCTGCCCAACTTCAGACTTTTAAGAGACTATAAATGGATAAAGAACTCAGTCTAACTGATTTGTTGATGAGGACATTTGTATTTCAAAATCCACATTTCTCTCCGCAAATGGGAGTTGGCTCCAGGTGCTCTTTACAAGGAACGCGAAAGTATCCAACTTGCCAGGCTTTCCTGCACCACATTCTAGCGAAGTAGAAAAAGGACAGCTCTCTTTTATTAACAGATAAATGTGCAGTGTCACAGACATGCCAGTGGTTGCGTGACCTCTAGGGTCAAAGGGTGGAGCAGTGGGGAGAGTGACTCCTGGGAGGCAGTGTGGTCTGCAGAAGGGGCTGGATAGTCACATACACGGGGATCCAGCCGTGCTCTGCTCCTCATTAGCTCCAGAGAGTCTGTGCACAGGTTACTTAACTTCCTCCCACATCGCCTGTAAGGTGGGGACAGCATCACCACCCTCACGGCACCAGGAGGACTGAATAAAATCACGTAAGACTGTCTGGCACTGTAGCAGCTGCTCACAAGTTACCATCCCCCTTCCCAAATCACTAAGAAACCTGCCTGGGGCCTTCGGCCAAGGGCACACATGACCCATCGAAGCAGAGATCTCTGAGCTTTCCTTGAGCACCACTGTGTGGACGATCGGTCCGAGGGTCGCAACTCGGCCACTGACCGGCCCGTGGCCCTCTGACGTGCTGCGCTCTCCTGATCCGTGCTTCCCCCAGGCTCTCCTGTGGCTGGCTGCCTCCTGGTAATCACCCTGACCTTCACTCAGAGGTCACCGTGAGAGGCCTTCCCTGACCACCCCATCTAGAACATTCCCGCTCCCTGCCCCCCGCCCCCAAGGCAGGTTTCTGTTCCTTTACCCTTTTACTTCCTGGCATCAGTCCCCGTATGAAATTCACTTGTTCATTTGTGACTTTCTTCTCTCTAGATCTCCTCATCCGACCAGTGGAAGAGGAGGCTGGACCAGATACTGTCTAAACTCCTTCCAGCTCTAGAAGTCTACTGTTCTAGACTGCTCTAGAAGATCCCGAGTTATCTCCGGTGACAGCATTCTGCTGCAGGGAGAGACTGAAGCTATACAGTTCTTACAGTTTCTGACTTCATCTAAAAGGTCTACAGACCCTTTACTTTCAGATTGTTGAGCGTTGTTTTCATGGAGTTCCGGTCTTATTGGTTCCCCAAAAATGATACTGAGATGCAAGCGGAAAGCTATGGTTCAGAAGGAAAATGGAGCAGGATCACCTCCCCTAAGAGAAGGACTGGCTTGGGAACCTACAGAACGGTTTTCCCAGATCATTAAAATTCCAAATATTTCTTACCTCCATGCACAGCTGGTAGAGGACAAGACAAGCCGTGTGGTTAAAGAGACGATGCCTTTTCCAGTTGAAATCTACGACTCCATCTTTGTGGTCATGAGTTACTGTATTGGGGACAAACGGGAAGGCCGTGACTCACGGAAGCCATATGATAGGACAGAGAGGAGAAAATATATTGCAGTGGAAGTCCAAAGGGATATGAAACATTGCTCTGGGAATATTTTGGGTCCCTAAGAAAACTAAGTGGATTCTGAACCTTGTAACGGGGTGGGAGGAAGGACAGCAAGGCTGAAAAAGTTAATTAGTGCCATTTACGCTCCCGGTTCTTCCCGGGCCCTTGGGCTCCACACCATAAACAACTCCCCCAGCCTTACCTTTAATTTTGTGGAAGGTTTCTGGCACAAAAGCCTGAATGGCTTTGAACCTCTCCACCACGAACCCCAGGGTCGGGAACTGGCAGCTGCCGTAACTGATCAGCTGCTCTGCCAACACTTCTGGAAAAATCCTCTGAAGCCTCAGGGTTTGGAACCTAGTGAAGGCAGCTCCTAGAAAGTGAGGGAGGAAGGAAGAAGGAAGGAGAAAGTGGTGGACTGTAAGATCAAAGCTAGTTGCACGTACTTACACACGAACGTCATTCTCAGTTCTGTAACCCAACACCCAGTGTGCCACGTGGGCGCCCAGGAGTTCACCGGTGGCTCACCAATCCTCAGGTCCAGCTCCTGCCTCACGTCCACGGCATCGCTCACTCTCTGATCGGGCTCGGTCAGGTTTTCACAGGCCGCCCGGACGGCTCGGGGGGTGATCTCAGAGAAACGGGCTCTCAGCACCGGGAGACTGGGCTTCACTGTGCAAGAATCACCAAGGTCAAAGTCAAATCACATTGCCGTCCCAGCATAAAAGGCCCATTTTTCTTAAACCACCCTGAATGGAAGGAAAACCATCTCAAGACGCTGTGAGGCACCCAATTTTCTGATTAGGTTAAATAAACAGCATGCCTAGCCACCTAAGAGGAAAACTTCACTATAACCGCTAAACTTAGTGTTGTCAGAAATAACAGTGGTATGAATTTTAGGGATTCAAGTGAATCTCAGCTATTCTCTTGGTGAGCCTCTCAAGATCCTAATCTCACTTGCTCTCTTAGACACTTACGGAAAATAAAAACGTTGTCAATGGAAAGATCCTACGGGGGAGTTTTACGTCCTGGCATGGAAATAACACAGGACACGTACACTGTCCCTGAAAGTTAATGTGCTTAAATTCCCAGGAGTCATTACAGCTTTCAACACAAACACACTTTGGGAAAACGGAAGCCGTCCACTCTCTGAAGCCTGAGGATGGGCCACACATCACTTCCTCTAAGTTACCTGAAGTCATTAGCCCTGTTCGAGTCATTTAAATTCATTTCAACAAGTACGTGTTAATATCCCGGCACTGTACAAAGAACACAGCAGACAAACACAACATTCTAGAATTATTCTTCGTACTGCACGTATGTCGTGTATACGTTCTCTTAGAAATATTCAATACGTAAAGAAAGAGGATATACAAAGTCCCTGCTCTCGAGGAGCTGGCCATGTACTTGGACCTAACACGTCACAAGCCCTAGGCTACATGGTCTGTGCCACTGGTTAACTCATTTAGTCCTTATGCAGCCCTAACAGCTGTGTCAGACTGGCCTGACTTTCCAGAAAGCTGAGGCTCCCGAGGGTTTAGTAACTTGCTCCAGGACACATAGCTGGGGAGAACTGATGGATCCAGGGGAGGGACTCTCTGGGGAGGAACGCAGCCACGGCCCGTCCGCACAGGGGAACCATCTACTTCTGTGGTCCCAAACTACGGAAACTCAGAAGCCACAGCACTTACCGGCCCTGCATACGTGGATAATTTCAAACCCGATATTTTCACCTTCTCTATCACAGTCGGTCCAGATCACCAGGGCCTGGCACTGCCGAGTCTCTCGTTCCAGAGTTTTCTGAAATTCCCAGCGGGGAAAGAGCAGGGAGAGCACAAATGCAATCACTTAACACCTCTCCGCTAAAGAGATCTGACTGAAGACTAGTGATGTTCTTGGAATATGGCAACTTGGCGAGAAGGAGAGATCTGGGAAACTGCTCTTACCACCTCTAAGGACGCCAAGGCCAACGGTACAATCCTCCAGCTTAGAACCACAGACCTGTAAGTGAGCTTCTAGAAGCCGGAGGGTTTAATACAACTACCCTAGTCTGATGAAACCTGAAACTCAGTTCTAACACATACTTGTAACTCTCATGGCTCTGTTAATGAACTGGTCCAAAAAAAAAGAAAAAAAATCCCTAAATTGAGTTTTGCCCCCAAGAAGGCTTCCCAGTTAGCAGTGAACTAATTATAGGTGCCCTGACTGCTTGAGAACTCATAACTTGCTGTCAAATGACCCTTTACACTTTGTCGTCTCTCCATGTTAATTAGGGCTGAATCTAGGATTAATAACTTAACAATATTATCCCTAGGATTTAAACAACCACTACTTACAAAAAAGCTTACTTTAGTTCCTTGGCTACTTAGTTTAAATGGTCTCATTTATATGATGAGTGGGAGTAATTTTTAAAAGCATGGTACTGGGACGCCTGGGTGGCTCAGTCGGTTGAGCGTCCGACCTTTGGTTCAGGTTGTGATCTCAGGGTTGTGGAATCGAGCCCTGAGCTGGGCTCCATGCTTATCGTGGAGTCTGCTTGGAATTCTGTCTTCCTCTACCTCTACCCCTCCCCCCACTCACATTCTCTCTCTCTCTCTCTAAGAGAAATAAAATCTTTAAAAAGTATGTTAAAAAATAAATAAAATCATGGTACTAAGTGTGGTGGGAAACTTGATCTCTAAATTCTAATGCATTCAGAACACAGGAATCACAGTTCAATTATTTTGTACTTGGAAGCTGCTCAACTCCAGTGCCACATGTCTTCTAAAACATCCTACCTTGATGTCTACAAAATTCTCTGGGCAGTACTTTTCAATTTCTGCTTCAAAGAGGACAAGGGGATTGCAGCTCTGCCTAGAAAAGAAATGAAAACACAACATATCCAACCTCAGCACAGGATGGAAAGTCCCCCATTTTAATGAGAAAAAATTGCTCCAGTGATGGATCCCCAACAGAAAAAGTCCCACATGAAAACGCCAGAGAATTAAAAGCAAGGCTACGACCCTCTGTACAAAGCCCTTCCTGCTTTCTGTGACAACAGGAGTGGCCAAGAAGAAATTCTGGGACTCTTTCATTCATGTCTGCAACAGGATAAATGTAACCCAAGGACTATGTGAAATAGGTCTGGCTATTTTAAGGGAAATACCCTTCAGAGTGGTTGTTTATTCTAAACGTAGGGCAAAAATTCACAATGGTTCAGTTGATCTTAGGTCACTGCTGTGGTCTCTATGGTTTTCGTCCCCTCAAAATGCACATGTTGGAATCCTAACACCAATGTGATGGGGTTAGAAGGGAGAGACTCTCACAGGTGATTCTGTCACAAGGGTGGTGCTACCTCATGAACGGGATTTCTAAAATCCCATTCTTATAAAAGAGGCCTCACAGAGCTCCCTAAGTCCTGCCACAAGGTGAGGACACAGCGAGAGGTCAGCAGAGTACAACGGGGAAGAGAGCTCTTCACCTGACCGTGTCGGCACCCTGATCTCCTACTTCCAGCAGCCAGAACTGGGAGAAATAAATTTCTGTCATTCATGAGCCCCTCGAGTTGATGACATTTTGTTACAGCAGCCCGATTGGACTGAGACAGTCGCCTGAGTATTGTAAGCTCTACAGTGAGATCAACATGCCTCAAAATTCCTGTAGCATTTCACAACTTACTGTAATAATCAGAAAGTTCCTCCCCCAGGAATTGTACTGACCATTTGCGAAACTGCATCTGGAAATCATGGGCCAGCAAATGTCCAGAAACTGAAGTCATTATCATGGTAACATTCTGAACGATAACAAAATTCACATTAGTCTTCTAGAAATTATATTTTGCCAGATCATCCAAATAAAAGGGAGAAACTTCTATTAAGGAAAAAAAAAAGGGGGTTGCCAGGGGCTCGGGGGGAGGTGGGGAGGAATGAACAGATGGAACACAGAGGACTTTAGCGGCAGTGGGGGAATACTCCGCATGGTGTTAGAATGATGGATGCATGTTATACTTTTGTCCAAACCCGTAGAACATACAATACCAAGAGGTAACCCTAATGTAAAGTATGGACTTTGGCTGCTTATGATGTGCCAGTGTCGGTTCGATTGTACAAATATATCACTCTGGTGAGTGATGTTGATCATGGGGTGGGGGTGGGGGTGGGCGGTGTGTATATGTGTGTTGGGGGGGGCCAGGGGTTCTATAGGAAATCTCTCTACCACCCTCTCAATTTTGCTCTAAAAATCGAAAATGGCTCTAAAAAAAAAGTCTGTAAAAAAATAAAACCAAACCTAGATGATCAGGAAGAAATGAACATAAATATGTCTCCTTGAAGCCAAATGCCATAGTAATGCAATCACCTTTCTGATTCTAGCACCATGATGCCTTTGATGGGATTTAAAGTTTCCTCAAACTCTTATGTATTTGCTTCTTTCTTGTTATAAAGAGATGGGACCACATTTAATTAAAAAGTGACTTCCTTATAAATGATAAAATGGTTGCCTGTCATCAGGGATCTTTAGGTCTTAACAATCGTCATTCTTAAAAGATTGTGACTTATTCTACAGTGGCCAGGCTCATTCTTCTCGATCGAATAACTCAAGATGCAAGGAGTTTAGGGACGACCTCTAGTAAACAGCTGCTCTTTTTATAGCCATAACGAAAAACTCCAGGAACATACCCCAAAATGGCCCACGGATCTAAAAGACACCTACCTGGCCATATAGATGATAATCAAATTCATAGATCTTGTTGAATTTTGAAAATCCTTCCCTCTATAACGAAACAAAAATACAATTGATCGATTACGTTGAAAACAAAGGATTCCTCAGCCTAAAGATGAAGCAGAACACTGGTAAGCAATAATATTGAAAAGTAACAGTATTTCCTAAAGACAAAAACTAGGCTATATTACTAAGACCATTTATCAAGTGGCTCCTCGAAATAGTTACAAGCACACAATTGGTAGAGTCCATGGAGTTTTTATGCTGGAAGGTAACCTTGAGGTCGGCTAATATAACATCTTTTCATGGATGAGAATGGATGTGTCCAAGGTCACGTCACAAATTAAAGGCAGAAGAAGGATTAGGACATAATTCTCTTGACAATTTTCTCCTTCTTCCCCATATACTTTTACTACTTTCTGGCTGTACAATTGTACCTGTCAACTGTGAACACAGGCAAGTCGTTCACTTTTCTGAACATCAATTTACTTTTGAATAAATTTACCTCTGGGTTCTCCCCTGGCTCTAAAATCCAGTAACACTATGAGCCCTAGTCAGAACTGGAACCCAGTCTATAAAGCAATTCCTTAGCTTGTAATCATGGATGAATAAGACCCTCTCGGAGTAGGTCCCACTTTTCTCCATAGGGACATTAAATGTAGTTACACATGTGAGTTTTGCACCAACACTACACAGAAGACAAGAAAATGGCCAACTGGGAACTGGAGAAATGTTCAAGGGCCAAGAGAAGGGTCAGTGTCGAGAAGAGTCTTCCTCCGTCTCACAAAGATGATTTTTCCGAGTGGAATAGTAAATGAGGTTATCTTTGAGGCATAGGGATGATTTTTTTTTTTTTTTCTCCTTGTCTGTTTTTTTTTTTTTATTCTTATGTTAATTCCCATACATTACATCATTAGTTCTAGATAAAGTGTTCCATGATTCATTGTTCGTGCACAACACCCAGTGCTCCATGAAGAACGTGC